TATGCAGTACCAAGAAGCATCTAGGACTTGAAGTGATAAACTTGCTTGCAAAAGAAAAGGATATGATAGAACTGGCAGAGAGAAAAATCCTCCGACAAATTCAAGGGCTTCCAAATAATACAGCAAATATGGCTGTCTATACCCTGGTAGGAGCATAACCTATTGCCATCACATTAGGCAAAAATCTACTTACCTTCATCATGAATATTGTTCGAAATTCAGGAACCATAGAATGTGAAATTCTGCGCCGACAAATAGCATTTTCAGACCAAAGAGGAAAAGACTTTATCAACAGAGTGGAAAAAAACTCCATCAAAATACAAATCGAATGGGGAAAAGACTAGTAGGAATAAAGATCAAGGAAAACTGGAAAAATGAATGTCATTATGAAAAAATGGAAAAAACATCACTTAAATACATAGAGATACAGAACAATCCATTAAATGAAGCTCACAATATATGCAAAAGCGTAAAAAAATAATAGTAAAGATGTAAAGGCAGGAGAAATAAAAGCAAGAATAAGTACTCAAACGTACATATTCCAAGCCAAAAGAGCTAAGTTCGATCCGAAAGTTGACCCGATATGTACAATCTGTGAACATGCAGGAAAATGAAGATCTAGAACATTTTATTCTACGCTGCAAAGAATTGGAGCAAATAAGATCTAAATATTGCTCAAAAATCGAACAGACAATGGATGAAATTGATACATCAACATACAAGAAGATCATACGACAAGGGAATTTACTGCAGCTCATAATGGACTGTACTAACAAGTACTCAACTGTGTATGAAAACATTGAAACTCTGGCTAGAAATATGTGCTATGAGATGCACATGCTGTGCACAGAAAGGATAAAAAACTTGAACACAAGTACGGTATAAGTAAACTTTTTTAAAATAAAATAGTTCCCTACTTTACCATCTTACTATTTTATGACTTATTAGGACCTAAATTAATTAGTTTTTGGCAAAGTTTTAAGATATCAAGTACCTTTAAAGAATAATGACAAGATCCCAAATAAGGTAATTTTAAACTGTGAAGGAAAACTTGTGTATATATGTTGAATTATTCTAAACCCCAACCCTTTTACATAAGTCTTATAAAATAACCTTTTCATTATAAATTCTGATTACGTATAGCACCTTTAACTAACAATTATAAGTAAGTTTAATTTAAGACCACTTAAATTCTAAATTCTTATTTGTAAATATATCCAGTTCTTACTTAACTTGTTCTTACATCTCAGCACATTATGAATATAATTTTAAAATTTTATGATGACAATCCTATGAATTAATTATAATATTAATTATTTAGTAAATATAATTGCCTAAATTCAGTCATCTGTACATAATTAAATGTTTCCTTATGTTCTAAGGTTTATATAGTTGCTACAATTATACCCTATGGGTAGTGCTCCACAATTAGTGGAGGAATATACAAGAAACTGAACCGAACTGAACTGTCTTGCTTCCATTGTATGCAAGTTTCTTAATCAAATTATACTGTGAAAACCCTTACAAAAACCTTTGCAAAAAAATAACCGTTTACGCACCCAGAGCTTGTTTGGTAGGCTATTAATGTTACCCTACCTTGAGAAATATTTATCAATAATGAATATTTTCCTATATTTCTTATCCATTCCTTAAATTTCATGAGAGGGAATTTTGTCGTACGAAAGAATTATTTGGGCTATCCACGGTGTCTCAATTGTATTAGATAAACCTGTCATTTGGGTGTCCAATTCTTTGAAAAAAGAAACCCTATATCATGATTAGCCATTCCAGACCAACTAAAAATGCACTATTAAAGAGCCACTTACGGCTCAACTTTTTCCTGGCTCAACTTGATGGTTGTTCTCCGATCTACGGAACTCACATTAACTTAACATGAGAATTCTGGTCGTCACGGCATCCAAATTAAACCATGTATCGTAATGATTTGATAATAAAACGATGAATAATATATTTTTATCATGCAACTATACATTAAAATAATACGAAGATTTAACGTCTTTGTGCATACGAGTATAGGAGCACAAGAACGTTCTGAAGTTCAATCTAAAAATGCATCAGGATAAATAGTAACTACGAATTGTCATTTAATACTGTGAGGTACATGATCTATATCATAAGTTTATTGGATGTCAATTATAGTGGCGGAACCAGGGAGGGGGTGGGGGTGGGGGGGGGGGGGGACTCCCACTTTTTTACTTTTTTAACAACAATGCTTTTGAATGGGGACATATAGTTGGACCCCCCTTTTTATCCTGGTTAAAAATGGCTGGATCCGCCCCTTCAATTTATGACCTGAATACTAAGATTTACATCTTCGTTATGTTCCTGGCTACTTAATTAGTATTGATAAAAGACAATTGGCTTGTTTATAATCATAAAGGCTAGGTAAATGGTCACCTGGCATCTTGTTTTGTTTGATGAAGGGGTTGTAACAAACATTTATATATTATTAAGTGCAAAAAAGTAAAATAACAAAAATACTGAACTCCAAGGAAAATTCAACAAAACGGAAAGTCCCCTTATCAAAATCCAATTCATAAAGAGAAAACGTACTAAAATAATACCAATATGGAATATATGTTATTCAGGTCTCAGACAGGGTATATTTATCAGTCAATTATGGACTTTTGACGAGGTCAATACGTTATATAGGGACCTGTTCGGATTATATTGACCGAGGACGATATAAACCCTAAGCCGGGAATATCACATTATATACCCTGTCTGAAACCTGAATTACACACATATTACGGATTACCCTGCCTTACTGATGTTTTTCCAGTACCAGATATTTGTTAAACATTCACCATGCCGTATATATATTTTCGGCATACGCAAAGGATTTTTTATTTTGCTGTGAAAATAATTCGATCGTGTATGGAATAATTTGTAATAACACTTTAAGACATTTATTATTATAAAATCATAGAAAGATTTACAAAAAGGGAATAACTGGAATCAAGGAATCGTGTGCAAATGTGTAAAGAATATGCACAAAAAATCATATACCTACATGTATTCACAATACATGTACTCATATAATGAAAACTTAGTTTGTACTTCAGTAGTGTATTGACATAATATTTAAATCATTATCCCTTGCTCTGCCAGTATATGTCATTATCAGTATTTGTACATGCATTTTCAAGAACTTTCAAAAGTTTAAATCGACAGGTAACCTTCAAGTGAATCTGTGGAAAAGTGTCATTTCTTTCGCAGTAATGATAACAACCACTCAAAATGTATATCTTATATGATAATATGAATATTCGTGAGTAGATATGATTGTGTTAAAACACAAACTAGACAATTGGTTTGTAAATTTAAATCAGTAATTGTGTTCCTCTCTAAGTACATACTTTTCCTGCCTTACTTGGGACTAAAAGACAAATGATTCAATGTGTTAGTCCGAGTCAGGCCTTCCCTTACCGAAAAATAAGCCTTGCGGCAAACATTTGCCGCAAGTTTGCAGCAAACATTGCCGCAAGCTTGCTGCAAACATTTGCTGCAAACTTGTCGCAACCATTTTACCATGCAAATGAAGGTTGCGGCATGCTTGCTGCAAACATAATTATGCAAATTAGATTTGCCGCAAGCTTGCGGCAATTGTTTGCTGCAAGCTTGCGGCAATTGTTTGTTGCAAACTTGCGGCAAACTTGCAGGAACTATACATATACCAATGTCATGTGTGTAGACACATTCAATTTATCTCTTTCAAATTACACAGCAACATTTTTAAAAGAATTCCTGCCTGTATACAAACAGTCATTGAAAGAATTCTTGCAAACTTAAAGATTTAAGGAAATACATATATGCATTTGAGTTTTGAAAAAGGGGAAGGGGTTATTCTCAAATGACATCATATACCTGTATTAAGAAATGAAAAAGGAAAAATCTCCAATGTGCATTGGGTATAAAGCTAGGTAATAATTGCATTACAGAATTGAACTTAATTTTAATAAACATGATACAGTACATCAGTTACAAAATTCAAACTTATATATGCTAAAGTTTTTCAAACACACACATATATATATATATATAGTTGCTTACTTAATTATGTATGATGGTGACATTAATTATTTTATTAAAACATGCAGTTCTATGAATTATTTGTACTTAAAAAATTACCTATTGAATATCCTATATTATTGAACCAAAATGCCTCCTTGATCTCTTATATGTGAAATGCATTATCCAAACACAATCAACATGACCTAGACACAATTTCAAATTGTTAGCTTCCAGGAAGTGCCAACTAGGCATGCCCAGTGAATATTGTGTAATTCTTGCAATGTTCTGCCAAACATATAGAATGGTCAAAGTTTTCTGCAATCTTGCAGCAAACATTATTTATTATCTTAACTTTCTGGCAATCTTACGGCAAACATTGATGTTTCTGCAAACTTGCCGCAAGCTTGCAGCAAAAAGCTGCAATGTTTGCCGGAAGTTTGCAGCTAGCGGCAAACATCTGCAAACACTATTTTCTGTGTTCCTGCAAACTTTTTGTTTGCCGCAAGCTTGCAGCAAGTCTGCTGCAAGTTTGCGGCAAACAATTCAGTTCCATAAGGGTTACCAACGCGTTTAGCTAGCAAACACATTGGATATTTTTTGTTCTACCCATATGTACTCATTGAGTGTAAAGTAATATCTAAAGGTTGAAAATCATGTAATATGTGTGTAATTAACCAAGGATTTATATAGTACAGAGACATATATGTGTATATATGTCTCTGGTACGGCGGCTAATACTGTCAAAAAAACAATGTTTTTATTCTCGTTACTCATGATCCATATACATTTATTTCTGAACTTAATATACTGAAATTAACACCAGGCCTTATACCAAGGATTCGTATAGTAAGACTTCTATACAAATCCTTGCTAATATTAAAGATTCCCTTTATTGTTGAAAACAGGTCACATATGACCTATGGGCCGATATCCAAACACACCCATAGTGTAATATTCTAAATATAGACCAGAAAAAATACCAGAGTTATATGACAACACAGCATTAACTTTGTTTATAGATTATCTTCAGATATAAGAGACCTTTCAACACAAGTAACGAATTAGTAAGTAAAAGTAGTGGCTTCATTTTCAGTCCCTGGCAAAAATGGAACAGGTATTTAAGTTGTTTAACATGTTTTAAGTACGTACGTATACTTCAGTAAGTTCAGAAGGAATTACTAATTTCTGGAAATGGAAGTTTTAAAATCACCCGATCATGCGACAGAGTCGAATAGTTAAATGATATTTCAGACATTGGTATCTTTATTTAACACTGCAATAACGATATTTTATTCACTATAAAATATACATGTATAAAGAAACAAATATGTTCTATTTCAAATGAATCTTTTACGGACTTTGAAGAAACGAAAGCGAAAGTAAAAACGCAGGCACTTGGTTGTTTATACCCTGTTTTTTCCATACAGACTAGTTTTTGCATGAAACTAGTTGACAGTGCTTATTCTTATGGTTAATAACCAAAAAGTATTAACTTGGGACAAATACATGAATATCATATATATATGTCACAGGTACAAAACGAGATTTTTAAAATGTATAAAATTAAGATGTGGTGTGATTGCCAATGAGACAACTCTCCACCAGAAACTAACTGACATTGAAGCTAGCAACTATAGGTCATCATATGGCCTTCAACATTCAGCGAAACTCATATATGCAAATGTACTGAATACAGTAAGTCTAAGGCCAATTAAAATATGATTTGCGGATTATGTTCATTTCCATTACCTGTAACCATAGTTAATTTTGTTTCATTCAAAACTACCTGTTGGAAATTTTTGGTTTTTGTATTTCTTCTGAGTAATATTTAACCAAGATAATTAAGTTGACATATTCTGCTATTCTATGATGACAAAATTATCTTCGGAGAATATAGATTGATTACGGGAAGGGCATGAATTATTCGAGTTATGAGTATTAGGTAGTGTCCAAAGAATGCAAATTGCGGTATGTCACAAATTTCAGTGATTAGAAAACAGTGGATATTTTTTATTTAAACAATGACTATGTGATAGGAAATTTTGACTGTGAATGTGGAACACATTGGTACAAAAAACATGACTGGTAAAGAAATTGACACAAGCACGTATATTGAGTACAAAAAGTCGGCCAACATACAAAATGTATTATATAAAGCCATTAGATTTACCCCAAGGCTGTCATTTTTTGTTGACAAACAGCAAATACCCTCTGTCTCCCAGCACCTCAATAGAGTCATTAAACAACTTCTTCTTTTTGGTTAAGTTCATGTTTTACAAATTGTATAATTATATTTGCACCTTGCATAAGAATGATAAAAGCATCAACCCTAGTATTTCCAACACAGTTTGAGTTTTCATTTCACTCTGTACTCATAATACTTGTGCTTCATACCAATGCATATGGTCTCTACACATCATAGCTTAGAAAGCAAAATAATTGGATGCAGGTAGTCTAAAAGAGAGCATTTGTCCACCTTTTTGTTATTTACTGAAAATAAGTTTCTAAAGCGGTAATTACATTTAGAACAGTGGTTGCCAATCAGAAATATTTATTTAAGAATTGAAAAATAATGTAGAATTCTTTATATAATCAAGTCTAAATTGAAAACAACGTTCAAACCTATGATTGCGTTGGATAAAAACCGCAATTTTTATACGTGTGCATGCAAAACAAATTTCTTGGTAGAGTTGTCTAAATACAGCACATACAACATTTTCCAAAAGACCAAATGAGTGAAATAAAAATAAAAAAATAAAATCCTCCCACCTGCCCCATTTTTTTCAAAAATGTGGATGAAAATCTACTAATTAGTTTTAGTGAGCCTAACAAGGTCAACAACTTACTTCTTCAGAAAAAATACAGGGGTCTCACTTTTTATACGACCGCAAAAAAATTTTGTGGTTGTATATTGGTATGACGTTGGCGTCGTCGTCTGGCGTTGTCCTGCGTCGTCCGAAGACACATTGGTTTTCGCACTCTAACTTTAGTTTAAGTGAATTGATCTCTATGAAATTTTACCACAAGGTTCAATACCACAAAAGGAAGGTTGGGTTTGATTTTGGTAGTTATGGTACCAACAGTAAAGGAATTAGGGGCCAAAAAGGGGCCAAAAATAAGCATTTTTGTAACTTCCAGACATAACTTGTGTGTTAGTGTATGGATCTCTCTGACATTGTACCACAAGGTTCCATATCACAAAAGGAATGCTGGGATTGATTTTGGGGGTAATTGCCTCAAAATTTTAGGAATTAGGGGCCAAAAAAGGGAAAAAAAAACAAGCATTTTTCTAGTTTCATGACAATAACTTGTGTGTAAGTGTATGGATCTTTCTGAAATTGTACTACAAGGTTCCATATCACAAAGGGAAAGCTGGAATTGAGTTTGGGGGTAATTGCCGAAACGTTTAGGAATTGGGGGCCAAAAAGGGGCCAAAATAAGCATTTTTTTAGTTTCCAGACAATAACTTGTGTTCAATTGTATGGATCTCTCTGAAATTGTACTGCAAGGTACCATACCACAAAGGGAAGGCTGGGATTGATGTTGGGGGTAATTGCCTCAATATTTTAGGAATTAGGAGCCAAAAAGGGGCAAAAAACAAGCATTTTTCTAGTTTCAGGACAATAACTTGTGTGTAAGTATATGGATCTTTCTGAAATTGTACTACAAGGTTCCATATCACAAAGGGAAAGCTGGGTTTGAGTTTTGGGGTAATTGCCCGAAATGTTTAGGAACTTGGGGCCAAAAAGGGGCCAAAAAACACATTTTTATACGACCGCAAAAAAATTTTTGTGGTCGTATATTGGTATGACGTTGGCCACATTGAGGTCAAAAGGGTCCAAAATTAAACTTTGTTTGATTTCATCAAAAATTGAATTCTTGGGGTTCTTTGATATGCTGAATCTAACCATGTATTTAGATTTTGGATATTGGACCATAATAGGTGAATGTCCAATTTAAAATTTTTAAGTTCTTAGACCACATTCATTCTGTGTCAGAAACCTATGCTGTGTCAAATATTTAATCACAATCCAAATGCAAAGCTGTATCAAGCTTGAATGTTGTGTCCATACTTTCCCCAACTGTTCAGGGTTCGACCTCTGCGGTCGTATCAAGCTGCGCCCTGCGGAGCATTTTATTAGCTAATGTTTTTCTTCTTGTAGGTAACAAGTGAGACGGAATACCGGTGATAGTTCTGAGAAAAAATTTTCACATACGGTTGATTGAATCTTCTTATTCACTGTTGGAAAGATCAATATTTTTTCTTTAAATTGAGCCATATATGAAGATTTTAGGCCAAGAAATAAAAAAAGTTCTGGTTTACAAGTTTTTAAAAATATCCCAAATGGTCCAGTCAGACACTTTCTGGGAAACCCAGGCTTCATCTGACTAGATTAAAAGCTCTATGGCATACGAATACTGAATTGTATATTACTGTCAAAACTGTCAGACAACTACTATAATAGTTATTACCCTTAAATGATGAATTTTACCAAATTATATTAATTTTTGCCTATTATCTCGAAAACTATAGAAGATAGAGAGAATCTTATTGACGCAATAATGATCAGCACAACAAGATCTACAAACAAGTCAACATGGCCAAATGGTCAGTCAGCTCTTTATTGGAGCTGATGGCAATTTTTTGAATTTTGCTTATTATGTTGAAACTCTGAAAAATTAAATAGAATCTTTATAGAGCAAAAATGATCAGCAAGACATGGTCTGCAAATATGTCAGCAAAGAGGAAATTGTCAGTTGTCTTTTTACAGGAATTATTGCCCTTAAATGACCATTTTTACTTTTTTTTGTGTTTCGAATAAAGACTATAGAAGATAGACAGAAATTAAATAAAAAAATGATCAGTAATACATAATAGATTCTAGTCATGAATTCAATTTTATTCTACAATGTTGGAGAGTGTCCATTGTTAAAGATGCACATAGACCCAGGTACGCAACACAGGCTCTTTAGGGCCTCTTATTTGGAGATCTTAACCCTTCCCTTTTTAGCTCACTTTTCCAAAGGAAATGTTAGCTTTTGCCATCACTTGGCGTCCGTCGTCGTGGTGGTCCATCTTCTCCTCTGAAACTACTGAACCAATTCCAACCAAACTTAAGCTGAATGATCCTAAGGGTATCTAGAATAAAGTTTGTGTTTTATTTTCTGTTTCGTCAAAAAACATGGCCGCCATGGCTAAAAATAGAATATAGGGGTAAAATGCAGTTTTTGCTTATTTTTCAAAAACTAAAGCATTTAGAGCAAATCTGACGTGGAATACAAATGTTCATTAGGGCAAGTTCTATCAGCCCTGAAATTTTCAGATGAATCTAAAAACCCATTGTTGGGTTGCTGCCATTAAATTGGTAATTTTAAGGAAATTTTGCAGTTTTTATACGGCTGTTTACGGGACGTATTAATGTATACCTTTGTCCGTCTGTCCGTCCGCCCGTCTGTCGTCAACATGTCGGACATTAACTCAAAAACGCTCTAACCAATTTGCATAAAACTTTGGTGAATTGTTTATATCTATTGACATGAGCTCCCTTTCGTTTTTTATAAATTTTAGATTTTACAATTTCGAGTTATGGGGTTTTATTCATTAAAAAAAGGGGGATTTTCCAGTTTCCGGACAATAACTCAAGAATGCTTTCATCAACTTGCAAGAAATTGTGGTGAATTGTTTATAACTATTGACATGAGCTCCCTTTCGATTTTTATAAATTTTAGATTTTACGTTTCCGAGTTATGGGGTTTTATTCATTAAAAAAAGGGGGATTTTCCAGTTTGTGGACAATAACTCAAGAATGCTTTCACCAACTTGCAAGAAATTGTGGTGAATTGTTTATATCTATTGACATGAGCTCCCTTTCGATTTTTATATATTTTAGATTTTACGTTTCCGAGTTAGAGGGTTTTATTCATAAAAAAAGGGGATTTTCCAGTTTTCGGACAAAAAATCAAAAATGCTTTCAGCAGTTCTTATGAAACTTTGGTGAATTGTTTATATCTATTGATGTAAGCTCCGTTTAGAATTTTATAAATTTTTCATTAATCATTTCTG